GAGACAGTAGGATCACTTGAGCCCAGGAGTTTGAGGTTGCTGTGAGCTAGGCTGACGCCACGGCACTCTAGCCTGGGCAACAGAGCCAGACTGTCTCAAAAAAAAAAAAAATTCCTCCGCCTTGGCCTTCCAAAGTGCTGGGATTACAGGTATGAGACACCACACCCAGCAGGATCATCCCTCATTAATCAGCAAAACCTGTCAGAATTTAAACATATTCAGAATTCCAATATTCATCACCCCTGTTTCCATCGTCTCTTGTTAGGTTTATTACAGGAGCCTCCTAATTGATCTTCCTGCTGGTGCCCTTGCCTCCTTTGTCTCAACAGAGTGACCCTGTTAAAATAAAAGTCAGATCGAATCACTCCTCTGTACAGAACCCTCAAATGGCTTCCTATCTCAGAATTTTTTTTAAAGGCTCTTTAATAGTGGCGTCTCTGCTTAATTTTTCTATATGTCATATATTTTACCTGCTCATTGTCTTGTTTCTAGTAGTAGGATCTAAGTTCCGTTAGGGCAAAGATTTGTTTGTTTTGTTTACTGCAGTGTCATTCAAGACTGCTACAAATCTTGGTATGTGATAGTCATTCATTAAACTATTTGTTGAACAGATGAATGAATCCATAGGGCAACCTCAAATAAATGTGTAATAATTAGGAAATGCAAATCTCTGGCATCCACTAATCCGCCTCACTGTAGTCTACAAGTATTTACTGAAGACCTGTTATGCGCGGGCGTGGTGCTGGGCTGCTGGAGAGTTTCAGTCTGGCAGCTGAAACAGTTATCCTAAAAAAGCGATAAAGTCTCCTCAGAAGTCCTCCTCCCCCTTGGAGTCAAAGAGAAGGATGGAGATAAGAACTTAAGTCATTTTTTAAAAAAGAGATTTAAAAAAACAGTAGAAGGGTGGAAAGAAGTAAGAAAATAAGAATAAAGAGAAGGAACAACTCCTGCCTTCGTGCTCCCAGTAGGATCCAAGAGTCTCCGTTCTTCCTACTCCTGTGTGGTACGAGGGTAAGACACCTCCATGTTCGCGAATCAATCTTAGAATCAATCTTGAAGGTGGTATTGGGGGTGGTGGGGGGAATGTCCTCTAGTTGAGCTAAAGCCTTTCCACCTTCTGCACCCTTGGACGCAGGAATCAAGCGCAAGCTAAGGTGTTTCTATGACAACGCATAGCTTTAGAGGACCGTTTCCTTTTTTCTCTTCTTTAGCTGGCTACTACTTTTGCCTTCCTCTGTTTCCAAATAATATATGTCGCAGCTTACAGAGATGAATAGACATAGGAAAAGAATTGTAAGAGTGCTTTTCAAGGTGGTTTATTTCAATACAAAGACTATTTCTGAAGCTTGTTTTTCTGGCGGTTACGGAAGATGCCTAAACGAGGGGCGGGGCGGAGAGGCATTTCTCCCACAAGGCCACGCGGCGGGGCCTCGGGTTTCTCTTTCCGCCATCTTGGAGCCTGTGGAGGTGAGTGAAGCGACTGCTGCTGAACTTTGGGAGCAAATAACTGGGATGGGTTCATCCGTATACCTTGGCAAGGCACCCGTGCGCCTTGGAATCTCTGCGAGCCAGTGATTTCTGTGGGCTTCAGGAAGAGGGAGGACAGGATGGAGGAGATGCGAGACTGATGGTGCTAGTCCCGACTCCCCAGAACGGTAATCAGAGTTAGTTCCTGGGCCTGAGCGGAGTGAAATGTGTGCACTTTGTTCGTTTTCAGTTACCCATGAAGCAGTGGTTCCATTAGGCTGAGTTTTTTTCCATTTTTTCCCATTCCAGACCTCGCTTTGTTTGTCTGTAGTCCCTTTCATCAGCTTTTTCTTCCTTAGCCATGCATAAAGTCTTCTGTGTGCTTCTCTGCCTGCTTGGTAAATTTTCATTGTTTCCCTCAATTTTGTCTGATAGTGGCATAAATTTTCCCAGGGTTTCATTTTGGAGGGTTAGTGTACATGCTCCCACTTGGTTTTTGTCTTCATTGTGGAGTTTGCTTAAATGTTAGCCATTCTCTGAGGTTTGAATGTCTTGCCACATTGTTATGGTATAATTACCTTGCTCCATTTTTTGCCTAATCGGCTTAAACGAGAGACAACAAGGTGGGAATCTTGCGTTGCATGGTTTTAAACTGAGTCTTTTTGCTTTAAGGTCTGCTGGGAACAGGACTTCTAGAAGGCAAATATGTCTGGAAGGTACGCGTTTTTAATGCTGTTGCTTTGCGGTTTTTTTTTTTTTTTTTTGATCATAAGACGTGAACGTTCATAAATGAGAGTTTAAAATTGGTAGGAAAAAATTAAATGTTTGCTATAGAAAACTTTTGGCTGGGGGTTATTAGAAGTCAAGTTATATGGGCGGTTTGTTGAAGCTTACGTTTAATGTTATGTATCTTGTGTGTCTTAGGCTGTGGTCGAAGGCCATTTTTGCTGGCTATAAGCGGGGTCTCCGGAACCAAAGAGAGCACACAGCTCTTCTTAAAATTGAAGGTGTTTATGCCCGAGACGAAACTGAATTCTATTTGGGCAAGAGATGTGCTTATGTATACAAAGCAAAGAAGTAAGTTTATAATAATGTTTTTGAGTTTCTACTTGAGAGCTCCCTAATTTTTGTATTGAAAGAATAAAAGGTGTTAGTGAAGTAATTGGTATTGTTGTGGCTTCTACTCTCGGTCTTTAAAGAACTTCATAGGAGGTTCTAGAAGGATGTTACTCTAGTGGGTGGTGTTGGACCTACCTATCTTCAGCATTTAGAAAACGGTAAGGAAGAAGCTAATTCCTTATTATGATCCTTTTAAGGTTTTCTAAAGCACTTTTCATGTACCTTAATACATTTTGTTAATTCCTTAAAACTGTATTTTTTATACATGTTTAAAGATGTTAATGTCTCTGTACATTAATCCTGGCTTCTTAACCCACTATAGGCCAATTAAAATCTCTAGAGAAGTGCTTTCATCTTTGCTCCCCTTTTGTCCTGCAGCTGGAATGTTCCTTTAAAATTATAAGTCTTCATGCTTAAATTGCTCAAACCCTAGTGGTTTGTCTCATTCAGTAAAAGCCAAAGTCATTAAGGGGCCTCTAAGACCCCATGAGTTCAGGGCTTCACGTTTCTCTTAAACCCCAGCTAGGATTCACTCTTTGGTATCTTCAGTCTTTCCCCAAGCCAGGACACTTCCATCTCATTTCTTTAGCACTTAACTGTTTGCTCTGCTTGCACTAGTAGTCCATGGTTTTTGTTCCATTACCATCTCAATGAGAACTTCTTTGGCTATTTAAAATTACAAACAATTCTTCTTTCTCCCTACACACAAACATCCTCACAATTCTTGTGTTCCTTTGCTATTTTTTGCTGCAGCTCTTACCATCTGACAGATTTTTGTTTTGTTTTTACAAAAGTACCTGGCACACAGTGGGTACGATTAAATGGGTAACCAGAGTTGAGAACCACTGGTCTAGAGGTCACCTTGAATTTGTATCAAAACTATATTGGAGGCCGGGCGCGGTGGCTCACGCCTGTAATCCTAGCTCTCTGGGAGGCCGAGGCGGGCGGATTGTTTGAGCTCAGGAGTTCGAAACCAGCCTGAGCAAG